GACGCGGGGCTCGAACTCCCGGACCGCGAGATCGTGACCTGGCTGAAGTCGGACGCTTAACCGACTGCGCCACCCAGGCGCCCCTATTATTATTTTTTAATGTTTATTTATTTTTGAGTGAGAGAGAGGGAGAAAGAATGAGTGGGGAAGGGGCAGAGAGAGGGGGGGATAGAGCATCTGAAGCAGGCTCCAGGATCTGACCTGTCAGCATCTGAGCATGATGTGGGGCTCAAACCCACAAACTGTGAGATCATGACCTGAGCCGAAGTTGGACGCTTAACCAACTGAGCCACCCAGGGGCCCCTCACTGGATGGTTTTACATGTGACAGCTCTTACCTCTGTGACTTTCTTTCGATCAATCATGAAGTGATCACAGGAGTTGATGAGGCTTAAAAGGGCAACGGCATCACATTCCTCAGGGCCTGTTTTGTCTGCCAGTCCTCGGGGCATGAAGGCCTAGAGTAGGGGAGGCACAAGGGACACCTGAGTCTCCTCCAACCCTAGGAACCGGTGGGCAAATGTTACTTGCCTGTTTCCCAAATGCTGATTGGAATGTTCTTACTGCGGTTTCAAGGTAGAGCCTTGTGAGTCCAAAACACAGGTTGGGAAAGAATGTCAGAGCTAAGGCTTGGCCAAGTGTGATAACCGAAGGGTTGCTCTATCCATCCCTCTGCTATCAGAAATACTTCAACACTTGGCATAACTGTCCTTTCCTAATGGTGGACAAGCAGGAAGCATAGGTAGAAAGCAGTCCTTTTTTCCCCCCTCTTTTCCTTCCTGAGGTTTCAGTGGCTGAATTGTTAAAGAAGACTTAAAATTTAAAAGTGATAGTTACTCCCAAGTGAGCCTGGGCTTTGGAGTGTGATAGAGCCAGGTTCACATCCCACCTCAGCCACCTGCCAACTTGGGTGACCCTGGGCGAGTTACTTACCCTCAGAGTCCTCATTGGTTAGTAGGGGAGAACTGTCCTCGTCTACTTCGAAGGATGTTGTGAGAATTACATGAGTTAATGCAGGTGAAGGACGGTGTCTGGCACACGGTAAACCAACAGGCCATAAATGTTGGCAATTACCGTGCTGATAGTGCAACGTGAGCATGACCTACCTAGGAGTTGCAGATGGGATCCTAGGGTTTGAGATACTAGATATATCAGAAGGGCCTCGTTCTAGTGTGATCTTGCCTTCTGTAGGATTTTATGGCACAGACCCCCAAAATGGTGTCACAGCAAGGCTTGGGCATATTTCTCTCCTGCAACAGTTCCAAATTTACATCTGAATGCAATAATTTTACCAAGCTCAGCAGCTCAAGGGTACATTCCTGCCAAGGAACTAGAAACGATGACATAAGCAAAATTACTTGCAATAAGAACTCTAAATAGAGAGACCTATTTTCCTGAAAACAGACACATTTCAGTAGGCAGGCAACCACATTTCCTATAGTGCTGCTCGTAACGGTATTACAGAAAGGGCTTGTGGTCGGTGCCAACACACCCCAAGGAGAGTCATGGCTATGTTCCTGATGGTGGTGGAATCCTCCACTGGAGCCTCACACAATTAAGAACTTTGGGGGACGCCTGGCTGGCTCAGTCGGTTAAGCATCGGACTTTGGCTCAGGTCACGATCTCACCATTTGTGAGTTCGAGCCCCGTGTGCTATGTTGAGAGCTCAGAGCCTGGAGCCTGCTTCAGATTCTGTTTCTCCCCCCCCCTTCTCTCTGCCCCTCCGCTCATGCTCGCTCTCTCTCTCTCTCTCAAAAATGAATAAACATTAAAAAAAAAAGATACAGTAGCCAGTACCACTGTCTTTTCATGTCTTAACAGCCACTGACTTGCTGATCCTCTGAAAGTCTATAGTGGATGCTACAATGTTTACAAAGAAGTTAACTTATCACAGCCAAAGCAGGGCAGTAAAACTGGGAAAAAAACCCCAAAAAACCCACCACCATCATCCGCAAAAAACACTTCAGCTCCCGCTGGGAGGATAATCCCAAAGTTAAGAAGGGATCTTAGGTGCCTCAAAACCAGGCACAGTTTTTTTCTATTACAAGGAACGTCCCATCTGGCATTTTCTTGCCAGTATAAAACTGTCTTTCCCACGTTAACGTTTTATTCTAGGACTTATTCCCTTTCTTCAGAACTAGAAGCCGACAGCGAGGCTTTGCTGCCTCCTTGCCACTGAAAGGAGTTTCTTAAAATGGTGTTGCATGCCACCGTGTTCCAGATGTCAAAGGTACGTGGTGGGAAACACCTGTTACTTGCCTCTCACTATCCTCTACTGCGTGTTCAGTGAGTAGGGGGAGATGAAGTTGGAGAAACAAACAGGGGCCAGATCGTGCTGGGCTTTACTGGCTCTGGAAAGGGGTTTGGAGTTTATTCGAAGGATATCAGGAAGCCACGTGAGGGTTTTAGGCAAGGGAAGAAAATGAGCCAATTTACCCCTGAACACCACACATCCTGCAGTGTGGAGAACGGACCAGAGGTGACCACACATGACCAGAGCAGCAGAGGTGACTGGGATGGAGGCTGCAGCCAGAGGGCAGGCAGGAGAGGTGAGAGTTGTGACATGGAGATGGAGAGAAGCATCCACAACTATTGTCCAGGTGTAAACAAGGGGGTGGAGAGGGAGAGATGAATCGAGGGTGGTTGTAGGTAGTTGCTGCTGGAGTGTGGCCGTGGGTTTGGTGGCGGGGGTGGGGGGTGGTGGTGGTAGAGATGAAGAGTCCTGCTCGAGGAGTAAATACAAAGTCCCCAGGAGGGAATAAGGAGAGGGGTCGAGCACGCACTTGCATATGGGAAGGGCCAGGGGTATGAAATGGGGAGCCATTAGCATAAGGGTAGTCTTTAATGGTGAACTCCATGGCCGGGACGATATCACCAGAAGAGAAGAGGGGGGACAGAAGAGGCCTGAGAAATGTCCACCGAGGACCAGGAGGAGGCCGAGGAGGAGGAAGAGCCAGAGAGAGAGGAGGAAACCTGTGGGGGAGAATGATGTCACAGAGCCACAACTGTTTCAAGAGTGGCCAGGAGAGCCAAATGTCTGAGAGGTAAGAAAGATGAGGCTGGAGAACTGGAGGTCAAGTGTGCCGACAAAATAGATGCAGTGTGCTGGGAGGGGCAGAAGCCACGGTGGAATGGGTTGAGGAGTGACCGGGAGCTGAGGGAAAGACAACAGGCATAAAACCCTTTCTGAGACGCTCTGCTGGGCATGCACATGGGAGGCAGGCAGAGAGATGGGGAGAGTGCTAGAGGGAATGGCTCAAGGGAAGCATTTCTTTCTTTTAAAATTTTATTTTCCCAAATATCTATTCAAGCTTTTTTTTTTAAACGGCTTTATTGAGATATAATCCACATACCATACAGTTCACCAGTTCAAAGCATACAGTTCTTTCCAACAATGTGAATGGATCTTGAGGGCCTTATGCTGAGTGAAATAAGTCAGAGAAAGACAAATATTGTGTGATCCCACTTCTATGTGGAATCTAAACCAAACCAAAGCAAAAACCCAAGCTCAGCGATCCAGAGAACAGATCGGTGGTTTTCAGAGGTGGGGGGTGGGAACGGGCAATATAGGTGAAGGGGGTCGAAGGGAACTGACTTCCAGTTATAAAATACATAGGTCCTGGGGATGTATTGTACTGCATGGTGCCTGTAGTTAATAATACTGTGTTGTATTTGAAAGTAGCTGAAACAGCAGATCTTAGAAGTTCTCATCACAAGAAAATAAACTTTTTGTAACTATGTATGGTGATGTGGCCAATCACTCGATACTCCTATCAAACCCTTCTGTTGCACATCTAAAACTGATACAATGTCATATGTCAGTTACACCGCGATACAAAAAATGTACAGTCCAGTGGTTTTTGGTATATTCACACGGTTGTGCAACCATCACCAGTTCGTTTTAGAACATTTTCATCACCCCAAAGAGAAGCCCTCTACCTCCATTCACTATCACTTCCCTCTTACCCCCAGGCCCTGGCAACCACTAACCTTTTATCTCTACATATCTGCCCATTCTGGATGTTTCGTATAATACATGCCTGGCTTCTTTCACTTGGCATAATGTTCTCAAGGTTCAACCAACTTCATTCCTTTTATGGCTAAATAACACCTCATTATATGGACAGGCCACATTTTGCTTATCCATTCATCAGCTGATGGACATTTGTGTTGTTTCCACATTTCGGCTATCGTGAATAGTGCTGCTAGGAACACTCACACACAAATGTGTGTGGTTTCTGTGTGGATGTATATTTCTAAATTCATTCAGTATAAACCTAGAAGTGGAATTGCTAGGTCATGTGGTAACCCTATGTTTAATCTTTTCTTTCTTTTTCAAAAAAAAATTAAATAAACTGAGGCAACGTTAAAGCTATTTGTATGGTGATGGGACTAAGCTGACAGGGAGAAAGAGTGGATACTTGAAGACTGAAAGTCTGTGGGTAGGTGGGAGGGAACGTGGTCTGACACACAAGTGGAGAGCTAAGGCGTTAAGAGATGCCCTTCCAACTCTAGCAGAAGGAAAACGGTGCACATGGAGATAGGCTGGTAGGTCTGGCAAAAAGATGCAGAAGCATGTATCTGAGGGCATGCATCAACTCCAGGAAAAAAGTCAGCAGCTGGGGGCGAGGGTGGAGGAGTGGAAGCTTACAGAAGGAAAGGCAGCAACAGCTGTCTCCAGAAACAGGAGCCCTATACACAGGTGAGGCCAGAGCAATGGTGATCAAGAACTAAAAGTGATACCAGTCAGCTAACCTTGGGGTGCCTGGGTGGCTCAATGGGTTAAGCGTCTGACTTCTGATTTCTGTTCAGGTCATGATCTCATGGTTTGTGAGTTTGAGCCCTCTGCCCTTCTCACACGCTCTTTCTCTCAAACTAAATAAATAAACTCAAAAAAAAAAAAAAAAAAGAAAGAAAGAAAAAAAAAAGCCTGGGTGGCTCAGTTGGTTAAGGGTCTGACTTCCACTCAGGTCATGATCTTGCATTGACTTTGGACCCCGTGTTGAGCTCTGTGCTGACAGCTTGGAGCCTGGAGCCCACTTCGGATTCTGTGTCTCCTTCTCTCTGTCCCTCCCTCGTTCACACTCTTTCTCTCGGTTTCTCTCAAAAATAAATAAACATTTGAAAGAAAGAAAGAAAGAAAGAAAAAGAAAGAAAGAAAGAAAGAAAGAAAGAAAGAAAGAAAGAAACCAGTCAGCTCCCTCAAGAGATTCTTCCCCTGAGCACAAACAGATTATAGTGTTATCAGGGTTGGGGGTGGGTCATGCAAGTTCAGAGAGGAGAAAAGAGGAGGGTGTGGCTGGGAAGAGAATATAAATACTCTGGTAGGACTGGAAAGTCTTTTGATGACAGCAACAGAAAGGGGCATGAACAGGTGGCAAGGGCTTCAAGAGGATGCCAAGGGTATGAAAGCAGCAACAAAGACCAAACAGGTAAGGGACAGTCACAGTCAAGGGTAGAATTTTGGGTTTCTTTCTTTTCTGGGTAAAAGTTGGCAAGTCTATGGTGGCAACAACAACAACAACAAAAAAATGGGGAAGAGGGTGTAGATGTGGTGGGTTTATGGGTCCACGATAGCCACCAGCCTGGTGGCCACTGATCAAGTCCAACTTCCTCATTTTTGAGGTTAGGGTACAGAGGCTGGGCTGTCACACAGCAGCAGCTGAAATGGGACTCTGATCCCTGCTTTCCCGGCACCAAGCCTGTGCCTGGCTGCTAATTAGTATGCAGATTGACTGCAAAAGTTAATTTGTGTTAGGAAGTGACTTTGCCCCTCCCCACTCCCTACAGGGCTTCTAGCAAACATCAAAAAGTTCTTAAAAATTCCCCAATTGTCTCAGCTAGTAAGTCATAGTGCAAAGATCTGAAAACAGGCCTAATAGTCTTCTATCTGGCTGCACACTTCACCGCGACCTCCTCAAAGTTTTACTCCTTAGCTGGGCCTGTGCTCATGATGCTCACTCTACATCTGGTGTCACCGGCATCTCTTGTCGAAATTTTCCTTATAGCGGGTAGCAAACTCAACTGCCTTGTTAGCAGAAAAGTAGAAGAAAGCTTCTACTTCCCTAACCTAGGTTAGATCCAGTACAACAGCCCTGAACCTCGTAAACACTAGACCCTATATCAAACACCCTTTCCTCTCTCCCGCATCTGTTTATGAGGCTCTGGGCTTCAAGTGACCAGTTACCTGGTGGGTCACCTCCTATCCTCCCGAGCAGGTGCTTACCTTGGCCACCTCCCAGGCGTCGACGGGCCACCGGCCCGGTCGGCAGTTTCCCCAGTGGACGTCTCCATTCCTGTTGGTGTGGTGTTTCAAAATCTCCTGTTTCCACTCTGCGCATACCTGACACTGAGGCTGAAACTACAGGGGGCGGCGGTGAGAAGGGGTCCCGGGCGGAGGGGTGCTGTTTTGGGCAAGTGAACGAGGAGCGTTGCGGTCGGCCCCGCCCCAGGGAGGGCTCGGGACACCGCGCTCGGAGACCAGGACAGGGGATAGGGTGCGGTGGTCAAGGTCCCCGGCCCTGGCCTCACCTGGCGAGCGCGCGGGCTGCACCGAGAGCCGCTGCAGCAGGTGGCGCGGGGGCCCAGGTTGGGGGCGGCGGCGAGCAGGCCGCGGTGGAAGGCGACCACCTCGCGGGAGACGAAACCCTGCAGACAGCCGCGCAGCAGCAGCAGGCAGTGGCCCGCCTTCACCCAGTTCTTGTACTCGGCGCAGTTGAGGCGCGCTGCCAGCTCAGACAGCACCATGTCCCGCTCGGGCCCAGGAGGCAGCGGGGCGAGGGGCGGGGCAGGCGGCAGTGCGCAGGCGCGGAAGCCTGGGAAGACGCCGTCGCCGGCGGCTGCGCAGTGGGCGGCGGCTGCGCAGTGGGCGGCGGCTGCGCAGTGGGCGGCGGCTGCGCAGTGGGCGGCGGCTGCGCAGTCGGCCTGGCCCCGCCTGGAGGCAGGCCCCACGAGCACGGCGAAGGGAGGGGGTTGAGCTCCTCGCGCAGCCTCCTTGATCCCTGGGCGGAGCCTTCTGGCTTAACCGGTACGTGCACCACCCCAGCGTTAGGGGACCGCAGACGCCTAATTCCTTTATCAAGTTCTTGCCCAGAGAGCCTGTACCTGAAACTCTTCCGCCCTCTAGTCTATTTCCCCAAACTGAAACCCTGCCAGTCCCCGATTCGACTCCCCCTCCTGGTGTCCGTGCCTCTTTTATTGTAGATATGTGTAAGGTGCTCAAGGTACACATCTTGAATTACAGATGTTCCTTGCATTATACAATTCTATGAAGTTTATTTAGTTCCTAAGCCCACACATTGGCTGTGGCAAATAAAGGCATTAGTGCGGAGTGACCGCCGGCTGCCTGTACCACGCATCTACCATGCTCCTGCAGTGTGCCAAGGTGACACAAAGTTCAAAAACATCCGCCACTGGGCCATCTAGCAGAGGCAAACAGGGACGACGCATGCCCTGGATCCTGGAGGGCTGTACTGCCCTGAGCCCGGTAAGAGCTTCTTCCACTATGGTCCTGAAGCATCCAGCTTAGATGATGATTATTTAGTATTCTCGGTTATAATTAGCGCTTCTTACATAAGGCAGTCTTAGTTAAGCTCCGAATAAGTGTAATGAGGGTCAGAAGGTAATGGACTGTCAACCCTATGTGACAAGAGGTCCTTTCAGTTTTAGTTGCTTTTTAGTGAGCTTCTTGAGCTTGGAAAAGTGTTAAAATTGTGTGGAGTCAAAGGCTCTGGCGGAAGAGCCTACACAAAACTTCCCCCTGACTTCATGGTTAAAAGCAAAGTGGCACAGTGTGTAGGAATGCTAGCTCTGGACTCAAACTGCCCCCTTTTAGCTGTTTGATCTTAAGCAAACTTAATTTTATCTCAGCAAATTTGAAACTTCATTTCTCTGGGCCTCAGTTTACTCGTCTGTAAAAGGAGGATATTAATACATATCCTACTGAGTTGATGGGAGGATTAAACACACACTGAAATACTTAGGCCAGTGCCTGACAATAGTAGCTCTCAGTGAATATTAGCTCTTATTTTATATTGATCTAAATGTGCCTTTCCATCAATGTCATATTCCTGGGCAAGGTATTTGAATAAATCACTTGGCCACTTGGAAGTGGAGGCGACTTAAAGAAGATTGTGAGATATGATGTCCTGGGGTTGTGCAGCACAATGCTGTCTGGCCTCTTATTTTCTCTTAATAACCTCGATACTAAATCCATCCAAAGTAAACTTCAAATCATTCCCTTAGACATACTGCCCACTCCCATCAAACGAAATGAAAGAGAAAATTCCACAAGAAATAGTGAAACACACATGAACATTTTCCCTTTCCCTTAAGTTTCTGGTAAGTTCTTAAAATTTTCTGTATACTGATTTTAGATCAAGAACACCTGGCAGGGGGGCACGCCTGGGTGGCTCAGTTGGTTAAGTGTCTGACTTTGGCTCAGGTCATGATTTCACAGTTCATGAGTTTGAGCCTAACATCGGGCTCTCTGCTTGTCAGCGTGGAGCCCACTTTGGATCCTCTGTCTCCCTCTCTCTCTGTCCCTCCCTGGTTCATGCTCTCTCCCAAAAATAAACATTAAAAAACAAAGAACACTTGGATAATAAATACTAAAGTAAAATATAACAGGTAGTACTTGGAGGGGAAAAATCATGAAAGAAAGGAACTTTTTATGTAGAAACTAGATTCCAAATTATAGCAAAATTATACTTCTTGAAGTTATCAAATTAATCATGGTCCAAAGAATGACTAACAGACTGTTAGCATCCTGTGGCTGAACGAGTTACTGTATTAACTGCAACACCGTTATTAGTGGTAGTTACATTCATTATCATGTATATTTTAGTTTCTGCTTGCAGTAGCTGAGGGTAAACTTTCAAACATTAAGGTTCAGCCCCTGTTACTAATAACTTGATATGTTCTGTTGAATTTTTCGCTTTCTTCCTAATTCTGAAAGTATTTCTGTACATTCCAAAACATCATTTCCACAAATGAAAAAAAGAAGGTGGCAAATCAGGACCAATTTCTTCTTTTGAGATCAAGCTAATACTAAACCAGACTATTATCCAAAATATCCCCGTGAAAATTAACTAGAGAGAGTTGGTAGTTCTCTGAAACTTGTATAAATTTATTACCAAAATTACTAAAATCACATTGAAAACACCTTCAAGTTAAGACCCAAACCACCTATCTGAAAAAAAAAAAAAAAATCACTATAGGCATCCAGTCCCTTTGATTGAACCTGGGTAACAAAAGAGGCAAAGGACATGGTTTGTCATGGAACCTAAGATTTGAATGCTAGTATTTTCAAAGCTTTAATAAAGTATATACCGATTCCAAGTCCCAAGCATATCAAAATTCATATCATGGGTTTACTCTTAAGCAGCAAAAGCAAATTCTGCTCACTGAATCCTATCTTTTGATTTGCACAAGGCATTCGGAGATGAGTTATAATCAGGAAAAAAAGTGTCCACTGAATGCATCATGTTTAAAAATACAATTAATGTCTTGAAACCACTTAAAAGGGAGGATACCTGAAAAGCTTACTCTACTTGTAAAATTTGAGACAATATTGTCCTGCAGATAAAAATACATTTCTTGTACATACATGTAGATTTCTACATGAAAGAAAGGACTCAGCTCCAAATAGGAAAGTGCTGACCCTTGATAAAGACATCGTAGATTGCCAAACTGATGTGATTCCCATTATAAGGAGAACTGGAAACTGAAGGATAAAGGTTAAAGGAAGGATAAAGTTCAGTCACCTGCTCCTGAATAGCACAGAGCTTGGCAAGAAGGAGGGGATAAAGGTAGAAATAAGACACAGAAGAAAGGCAAAGAAGGCCTCAGTTCTGACCAGAAGTAAATGGAGAATCAAGCAAAGTTGAGAACAGATAGAACTGCAGTGAGATGTTTGAAACTAGAATTTGGTAGTTGATAATTAATAGAAGCTCGAATCAACTTAAAGGGGAATTAGAACATCTAAAATTTACTGGAGGGCCAATATTACAGTGACCAGATAATTCAGTGCAGTATTATCATATAAAAAAACTTTCCCAAATAACATTTAAGTCCCCAGAAGACCTTTGCTTCTGATCACATTCTTTGAAGCTTAAAAAGGTCCCTGACTGGGAGAGAGCACAGTGCTCCAAAAGGAAACTCTGCTGAGATGTGTCAGCACCAGAAACTCCATGTGACCCTGGATGGGCACTGGATCTTGGATTCTTCAAAGTGGGGGGACTGTGCCAGGTTTCTTCCAAGCAAAACATTGTACCGTTTTGGTGACAATGAATTAAGTTGGGGTTGTGTAGAATAACCCCAATTTTGGTGGGGGAGGCAAGGGGGAGAGGTTAATAAGCAAGATAAAGAAATGTCACAGAAATTTCATGCAAGGGTAGGACATCCAAGTTCTGTGTTTCCTATTAAATGCTGTATGCAGAAGCATCCTGTAAGCTAAATTTGCCTAACAGAAAAAAGTTCCCGTATCTTCAATGGATGAGAATGACTGCAGTAATTTGGGATCCTTGATCAATATGAACTACTCACTGTCTCTTCTCAAAGACTGGTTCCTTCTTTTTTACCCAAATCCTACACTAAAAGACAACTAAGGTGCAAAATGTTCACCATGGGTCAAGTTAGGAATGTTTGAAGAAAATAAATTAACCTTGAAACAAAGAAGCGGATGTTTTTGGTAAAATTCCAGACATGTATCATTAGAAATTAACTACTGGCCCCACCAGGTGAAAGATGAAGGGAGGCCCTGAGAAGTCTATAGAGCTGATATACACACAAGTGAGTGTCACTGTTTTGTTTTTTTTTTAAACCTAGTTTTATTAAATATTGCTGCTTTGGGATGTGTTTATAACAACTCCCAGAACATTTTCATGTAAGGATTCAAAGCGGGCATATTAAAATACAGCTTCAATATAAAGTTTATCACAGTTTTACAGTATTCAAAAAAGACAGACCTGCCTTAAAAAACAAACAAAAACCAAAAGAAGGACTATTACACCCAAAACATAAGAAAACAATTAAATAAACAAGTTTGGCATTTCCATAACTTTATAGTATAAAACAGAATATTAAATCTATTACTGGCAAGCGGACACTGATGTTTTACCTAGTTTGAAATGTGTCCCATCTAAACACACTATACAAGTTCACTATACAAAAGATTGATGGTCTTTTTGATGAAAGAAGTGCACCCTGAAAATTTTTGCCAGTTTAGAATATTTATCTCTAAAAGTCAAAAAAAGTCCTTTTTCTTTTTAAACTGAAGGCTAAATTCAGATTTTTTTTTTTTTTTTTTTTTTTTTTTTTTTTTTTTTTTTTTTTTTTTTTTTTTTTTTTTTTTTTTTGCTGTTTTGTCTCATTTGTCAGCCTTCCTGGTTTAAAAACAATAGTGTCTATGGACGCCCACCAGGGGGCAGTGTAAGATTAGCCATTAAATCACGAACAGCTGCAAATATTGTGCATTCACCTGCAACAGAGAAAAATGGTCATTAGCTATTCGCAATACAGGAAAGATGATGTCAACACACCGGTGGGGGTAGGGATAATTAAATCTAAAAATCAGATTAAATTAAATTTAATTTAAATTTAATCAAATTAAATTAAATCTAAAAATCTAAAATCAGAAAGAACTTTAAGGGTCAAAATAAAAGACTAAATTTTAACTGCACAGATTATAGGGTAAGGTTAGTTAAGCTTTCGTGTTAAGTATCAAATGATACTTGGTTAGGGTTTTG